CTGAACCTCGGCTGCCCGGGTGACCCCTCCTCCTCTGAACTTTGGACATGATCATAATTAACCAGCCACACCCAGCTGTGTCCGTTCTTCATCCAGCATCACCACCATTCAAACAGGCGTATTGTCTTGCGCGTGAAACCACCTCTCAGTGTCTCGTATCTGCCCTGTTGTTCCAACCCGTCACTGTACAACCTAACACCTGCCTGCCTGCATTGGCTCTCGATACACAATGGCCGCTCTTACACCCCCCGACACCTACACCAATTTCACCCTCCCTGACGTCAAGTTCGCCCACCATCCGGCCTCTTCACCCACTGTCACGTCCGTTGTGCTCGTCATCCTGAATCGCCCAGCTGCCCGCAATGCCTTCACCGACTCCATGGCCGACTCGCTGGAAGCGGCCTTCACCCTGCTGTCCGCCGACCCCCGGGTCAAGTGCATAGTCCTCACTGGCTCCGACCAGTCCAATCAGTACTACTGCGTCGGCATGGACCTCGCCATTGCCGGCTCGCGCAAGGTCAACACGGAGATTCCCCGCGACGAGTACCGCGACGGCGGCGGCCGCGTCACCCTCTCCATGCACAGGTGCGCCAAGCCCATCGTCGCCGCCATCAATGGCAGCGCTGTGGGCGTCGGTATCACCATGACCCTGCCGGCCAGCATCCGCGTCGTCTCCAACAAGGCCAAGGTCGGCTTCGTCTTCGGCCGACGCGGTTTCAACATGGAGGCGTGCAGCAGCTTCTTCCTGCCGCGCCTCGTCGGGACAAGCCGGGCCATGCACCTCGTCACCACGGGCGGCGTGTACCCGGCCACGAGCCCGCTGTTCGGAGACCTCTTCAGCGAGATTGTGGAGCCGGGGGAGGTCCTGCCGCGGGCGCTTGCCATTGCGGAGGAGGTGGCGGAGAACGTCAGCGCCGTCTCGACCAAGGTGAACAAGGAGCTGATCTACCGGAACCCTGGGACACCCGAGGAGGCGCACCTGCTCGAGAGTTCCCTCTTCTGGGATCTGATCCGTGGGCGAGATAGCAAGGAGGGGATGCAGAGCTTCTTGGACAAGCGCGCACCCGAATTTGCGGCGAGCATCGATAAGGACGCCCCGACTGCGTATCCATGGTGGGAGGAGAAGCAGACCAAGCCCAAGCTGTAGTGGACGTGGGACTACCTGAAGAGGCGTCCATCTACCACTGGTAGGGCTGCAGCAACCAGGCACATGAAAATGGCGCTATCCTCGGAGCCGTGACCGTATGGGTCGGGGGTCTGCGGGACCCGGGATCATTGATCGACATGTGCTGGCGGGCCGGGTGTTGGGTTGCTTCGATGGCAAACGCCCAAGGGCAGTGCGCAGTGCCCTGGTTGGCTCGGGTCTTCCCACCTGGATGCATTTGTAGGGGACGGCAGCCTCGGGCTGGGCAGAGATTTTGGCCAGTGGCTCCATAGCACGGTCGGGATACAGCTGTCTAGTGCGCGTGTCCGAGGTTCACATGCCAAAGGAGAGTGTTTGCGGAGGGGCTAGAGTCTGTAATTGATAAGAATTTGCATGGGAAACTGCCAAAGAAAAAAAAGAAAAAAGGAGACCAAAGCAAAATTGTGCTGTGCCTGCTTGGAGGTGTGCTAGACGTCAGAGCCGTGCGGCGTGCCCAGCATAGGTAGGTTATGCGGCAATGGTGAGGAGCGCACGAGTCACTGTTCCGTCTGTTCCAAGGTTTGACCAGCTTGGCTTTCGTCGTTGAGACTTGTCTGCCTGCTCCATGTGATGAGTGGCTGTCGGAGGACCTCGACCGGGCCATCCCAGGCTCCAGAGCAACAGAAGACACAGACCGGCTCGACAGGTGGCATCGCAGCCAGAGATGGCCACGGATTGGAGACAGTGGCCAAATGAGGTTGAGACGCGGGCTGGCTGAGGCGAACAAGAGGAGTGAATGGGATTGCATGCAGGCACCCGCCAGGCGGAAGAAGAAAACAGTGAGGCAGACGCTAGAGCAAGCCAGTCCATCCCGGCATCAGTGAGAAGACGGCAAACGGTAGGGTGAGCGACTACTGAGTCTCTCTTGCCTCTGTGGACCGTCTGACACCTCTTTTCGGCCGGACAAGTCCGATCTGACTGCACTGTAGAGGTACAGGGGGCCGCAGGTACCATCCGATGCGTGCTCAGGTGATGATACAGTGCGATGTGAGGGGCTCCTTCCAGTCCCCTGCTGCACCTGCCAGAAGTGCGTGCGCTTGCCCGTGCCGGGCCTGGCTTCCCCATTCGTTTCGTCATTCATCCCCCCCCCCAGACACTCCACTTGCGCTCCGAATAGGTCACGGCTGGTCGCCGTGGTACATATTCTGGGCCTGGTCTCCGTCTCAACGACTTGTCACGAGGCTCCTGACGCTTTTGTTCCGAGGTCTTCTGCTCCGTCTGCTCTTTTTCTTCGGTTTCTTCGCCGTCCTTTCTTCTCAGCCTGGCTATCTTCACCCTCGTATACACAGCGACCGGCCTTGCGCCTACATTCTCCCCCCCTTTTTTCGACGGAACCTTGCCCCATTCCAACTGCGACGCCCACGTTCCCTTGCTCAACTACCGCGAACTATCCAGGTTCGGTCCAGACAAGGGTCTTGCACATCAGATATACAGCTTCCCCAACAATCGCCTCCGCACCCAGCGCTCCTGTTCAACAACTCCAAAAGTCGTCAGCCCATCTTGCGCAGCAGCCTAGTTTTTCGACCTCCTGACGAGTGCGCCAAAAAAAAAAAAAATACTTCGACCACCTTTCGAAACATCTGCTCCCTTCGCATCGCGCTGCCTCTACATCTTGGTGTCCCTGGTTGCCCCGGCTTCCTTGGTCTCCTCGCTCCCTCGCCTTCGAGTAGCGCCCCCCTCCCCCTCCAATCGTCACAAACGACACCTACAAAATGCAGTACGTCAGGAGCTCACTGAGTTCCGTGTCCTCGGCATGGAACTCCATCAACCCTGCTACCCTCAGCGGTGCCATCGACGTCATTGTCGTCGAGCAGGATGATGGCTCCCTCGTTTGCTCTCCTTTCCATGTGCGCTTTGGCAAATTCTCCCTCCTTCGTCCCTACGAGAAGAAGGTCGAGTTCAAAGTCAATGGCGAAAAGCAACCCTACTCCATGAAGCTCGGCGAAGAAGGCGAGGCTTTCTTCGTCTTTGAGACCAAAGAAACTATTCCCAAGGACATGCAGACCTCGCCGCTTGTCTCGCCCGCCTCCAGCCCGCCCATGGACCCGCAGCACTCGCCCGAGGCTGGACTCCAGGAGCCTGATCTGCTCGATCTCGACGAGCTCAACAGGAAGCCCCGCCGTCCTCCTCCTGCTGTAGTGTACTCCTCGCGCGACCACAGTAAGAAGATGATCGACTCGGTGCCACAGATGGACGTGTTCGAGCGCTGACCCTTTGAATTAGCTCTCATCTCCTCGTCCACATCCCCCGAACTGTCGAACGGACGGCCAGCGTCTGGCGACTGGTCCAGCATGATGCGTCCTCACAGTGACGATATCTTGCGCAAATCAGCCCGCTCAACCGACCGCGACCTGACCGATGAGCCTTCCGACGGACAGAGCCAAGAATTGTCAGAACGCTCGCACAGTCCACCTCCGCTGGCGCCCCGAGAGGCGCTCGAGCGCGCCATCGCCCTGTCGCGGAACCTTGAGGCAGCCAATATTCCTAGCCAGGTTACCGAGACTGGCGATCTCAAACTCGACATGACGGGTTTCAAGAGCAGCGAAGAGGAAATCTTCCGCGCCGAGATTGTTGCTCGTAAGATCCTCTCTCAGGAACTCGACGGCAACTATGACATTGGCTCCCTCTTCGGCATGGATGAGCACGGTAATATCTGGATCTACAGCAGTGAAGAAGCCAAAGAAGCTGCGCGCAAGAAGACCATGGCGGCTGGCATTGGCCACGGCCCCACGCCTGCTGCTGATGCCGTCTCCGACCCTGGCTATCAGAGCGACGCTAGCGACGAGACGACGACGGGACCAGCTCACTCGCACAGGAGGTCTGAATCTGATGGGGGCCTCCAGACGCCCCTGAGCACCCCGCCAGGTTCGACCGCTGGAGACCCCAACCTCAATTACGCCAAGACGCTCCGGTTGACTAGCGATCAGCTGAAGGCTCTGGGTCTGAAGCCCGGCGAGAACAGCATGAGCTTCACTGTCAACCGTGCGACCTGCCAGGCCAACATGTACCTCTGGAGGCATGAGACGCCAGTTGTCATTTCCGACATTGATGGCACCATCACCAAGTCGGACGCTCTCGGCCACGTCCTCAACATGATCGGACGTGACTGGACGCACGCTGGTGTGGCGAAATTGTACAGCGATATCGCTGCGAATGGTTACAACATCATGTACCTGACCAGTCGGTCCGTGGGACAGTCGGACACGACGAGAGCGTACCTCGCGGGCATTCAGCAGGAAAACTACAAGGTCCCGCGGGGCCCGACCATTCTGTCCCCTGACCGGACCATGGCCGCTCTCCGACGGGAAGTGTATCTTCGTAAGCCCCATGTGTTCAAGATGGCTACACTTCGAGACATTCGTCACCTGTACGGGCCGGACCAGACTCCCTTCTATGCCGGATTCGGCAACCGTCTCACGGACCAGATATCGTACCGAACGGTCGATGTTCCGAGGAACCGCATCTTTACCATCAACTCCAATGCTGAGGTGTCGCTTGATCTCCTCAGTCTTAACAAGCTGAAACTAAGCTACATCAACATCAACGAGGTCGTGGACCACTTCTTCCCCCCTGTCAGTACCCTCATCACTGGTGGTGGTGAGGAATACACCGATTTCAAGTTCTGGAGGAACACGCCCCTCGAACTCGATGAGTTCTCCGCCAGCGATACGGATGACGAGGAGGACGATGAGGAGGAGGACGATGAAGAAGATGATGAAGAAGACGATGACGAGGAGGCCGGCGACGGCATGGCTGACAGTTACATCTCGCGTGATTCTATTGACGAGTACGCAGACGGACGCGAAAGCATCCTCAGCGACAGCGTCACCGGCGACGACTCCATGATGAAATCTCTGGTGCTCGACGACGAGGATGGCGATGACGAAGACTCGTTCGAAGACGCCGAAGATGACGGTGACAATGACGATGACGACGCACCCGCGAGCCCCGCGCGAACGGAGCGTGAGCGTACTGTCATGGCTGACGAGCCAACCAACGGTGCCAAGCTGAGCCCGACCTCTGACAAGCCAGTGGTCGAGGACATTGGCGCCGAGATGATCACAGGGGTAAAGCATCTCACCCAGGAGAAGCCGGCGTGGAAGTGAAAGAAACCAGTGCGCTAAATCTAGTTTTGCTCTTACCAGGCTGGTGACGTTTATGATCCCGAGACCGAAAAGACCAAGCAAGTTTAATGGCAACGTTTTGTTGCGAGCGACGGTGCGGCTTTCTTTGGAGTGCGTTCCTTCTTTTCTGCGGATTTATTACCTCGAAAGGAGGTCTGGGACGAGATGTGTACTGGATGAGGCAGGACGAGAGGTGCATAGCGACAGGCGTTGGATTGGTGTTTCTCGACGAGGTAGATCGAGCGAGCGGTTGCTGTTTTTTCATGTACAACGGATCCGATAAAAGTCTTGCACAGCGATCAATACACGATACAAAGACATGAAGAGATGAAACTTAATATTAACCGGCTCCGTTCGATTTCTTTGTGGGCTCATGGCCCTGGGTATATGTGGTACACTTTCTCTACACACGCGGATCCCATGCTCTGCTTTTCTTTTTCGTTGGAAGTGATGCGCCCACTCTCAATACGGGCCCCAAGTCCTATCCATTGGCACAAAGTAAGCCACAGTATTGCCTGAAGAAGAGCCCGGCATGTGCATCTGCTCAACATGAGATGAGCCGTCGTCGTTCAGGACCCCGTCTGTCCCTAATTCCATGTCGGCCGTAACAGATGTGGCCCTCGCAGTGTGACCCCCAAAATCGAAGGCGTAATTCGCGTTGACTCCCATGGCGTGGCCATTGAGCGGAATCCCGGTCATATATGCGTCGCCAGTGGGAAGAGCAAAGGTGCCACGCGCAACAAAAGCCGGCCCGTGGGCAGCTGCAGTCGGCTGGACGTATATCGGCCCGTCGCCCTCTGGGTGCAGGTTCCGGCTCATGATGTGGCCCATGACGCGATTGAGAATCACAGGGCGCAAGCCAGGCGGCTGCACCAGGGGGATCGTGTCCGAAGTGCCCGACGTGCGCGGTCGCAGCTGCAGGCGCAGCAGTGGAAGAGCCGTCCTTCTAGCCCGACCCTTCCATCTTGAGGTCCTTGTCCTCGTCCATCTCGTTGCCGAAGACGTCCTCCATGGTGCCGCCCTCGACGCCCTCGCCGCCGACGTCCTCGTCATCGTCATCCTTGATCGTAGTGTTGGCACCGGCGCCCGTCTGCTCGATACCTTCCATGGCGCCACTGCCGCCGCCGCCGCCGCCGGGCGCCGCCACCACGGGCACGTCGTCGTCCGAGTCCTCGTCCATGCCGGCCTCCTCCCACATGTCCTTGAGCCCCCAGCTCGTGCCGCTGAGGACGAAGCGCTCGCTGGGCAGGCGGACGCCCCACTCGTTGGGCGCGACCTTGGCAGGGCGACGCGGTTTGTGCTCTCTTGGCGAGGTCCTGGAGCCAGTCCTTGCCTCATGCCGGCCGGCGCCGGCGCCGCCCGCGGAAACTGGGTAGCTTCAGGCGCGCGGCGATGGCGAGCTTTGACGGCGTTGGCCCGA